AACTTGAAATTTGTCTGTCCCTCATTTGAATAACAGTTGGTAAATTTTTTCATTGTGATCCTTTTTGCCCACTTTTCTATTGTGACTTTCATTCTGCACTGAGGTTGGCAAGATTCCCAGCTTATCTTGTTGTTACCATTAACTCTTTTTAGAGTATCGAAAAGCAATATTATCATAGAACCTAGGTTTCCTTTTCCCTCATGCAGGCTAAGCCTTGCTGAAGTAGGTCATCAGGTCTGCTGCATATAAATTAAACCCTGATGCACATGTCTCCTAAGGCTTAACTTCATCTCTCGCTATTGGAGATAAGGATTTGACTGCCACAGGATAGGATTATCATGCTCCTGACTAATGCTGGGTTTCTGATACACCTTTCTTTGAAACATCTGTTGTTGGCCATGACTTAGCCAGATAGCAGACCACACCAAAATAGGTCTGAGCCAAGGTCATGCCACTATAAAAAATCAGTGATTACATTTAAAAGATATTAATGTCGATATTTTTATTGAGTAATAGCTGGGTAGCCTTCCCCAGTATAATTGGCATAAACAAGCATATTCCTTGGTGCATTGTATGGTAAAATGGTTGCATTTCCCTACTGGCATCTGCTGTGTTGAAGCCAATTCATATTTGGTCAGAATTCCTGTTTGCCTTTACTAGGAATGTTTATGCACCTTCCAGTGATGTACATTCATTGCATAAAAGTAAATGCAGAATTAGCTACATAGAGTGCATACCACATATTTGACTTGTAAACATGGTCAGGAATATGAACACAACTGGTACCTTCAGAGCCCTCAGTTTTAATCTACTGTAGAATGCATAGCATTTCATCAGCAACAAGTGCACATTTGTGTGTGTTTAAAAAACACAACAGAAATAGCAAGGAGTCCATGTTGTTGGCGTCAGGTCCCTCTCTAAGGTTCAAAGAGCCTAGAATTCAGCTGTTAATAAATAAGGCAAGGGGCAGAAAAATAGAATTCCAAAATTCAACACTTGCAATTATTTCTCTGACAACTCTACCTGCTTTCTTTTAGAAAGCTGGGGGGAGGGGAGACTTAGGCTGATCCTAGTAGAGTGGGGTGTATGAAGGACAAAGAACAAACCTTTTCTGGAATTATGGGAAAGTACATACAGGTAGTTCTTGCTTACCAACTTGTTTAGCAACTGTTTGAAGTTACGATGGTGTAAAAAGAAAAATGCTTCACGACCAATCCTCACATTTATGGCCATTACAGCATCCCATGGTCACGTGATCACTATTCAGGTGCCTCGCAGCTGTCACACATTTACAATTGTTGCAGCATCCCGCAATCACATGATCACCATTTGTGTGCTTTACAACTGGCTTGCAACAAACAGAGTTAATAGAGAATGTAGAAGTAAAATCGTAAGTTGCAGTCATGTGATGTTTCACTTAGTGACCACAGTGATTCACTTAATGGCCAAAGGGGAAGTGAGGTCATAAGCCTCTTACAGTCACATGAATTTCCGCTTAACGACCACAGGCTTAGCTATAAGAGTGCTGGTCCCAATTGTGGTTGCTAAGTGAGGACTACCTGTATAGTCTTGCAGAGTAACCCACATTTCCATCTTTTTAATCTGAACTTTTATGGTAATTTGGTAGAGTAAACAATAACTTTAAATTCTTTTTCCTCTATTGTGTTGAGGTCTATAAACTTTTGTGTTGGTTTGAAGGTCGGCTCTCAGAATATGTGACAGGAATAGTTGGCTGAATTTTAGTTCTGAAAGTAGACTTGTTGAACCTAGCAGTATGACAGGACTGGCTTCAGAATCCCCATTGTACCCTTCATTGTTGTGTACAAAGTCTACAAACCTATAATTGTTGAACATCAATTTAACTATAGCCAATTTAGTACTCTGTGTATAGCAAGTTTTTACTTAATTTGCAGTCAGGAAACATACACGTTTTTTTCTCAAGTGGAATAAGCCAGATTAAATGGTTACTTATGAAGCTTAAAGATGCTAGCCTATTTGAATGACTGTAGGATCCATGAAAAGGAAGGCGGATGTGCAAACCATTGCTTTGGTATGGGGAAGGCCTGGAGATTTTGCATATGCATTTGCTGTGCCTAAGTCACTTTTGTGAGCCAGTTTGGTGTAATGGTTAAGGCATCAGGCTAGAAATTGGGAGGCTGGGAGCAGCCCTAGGAAGAACTCAGTGGCAAACCCCTTCTGAAAATCTTGTCAAGAAAACTGCAGGGACGTGTCCAGGCAGTCGCCAGGAGTCAACACTGATTCAAAGGCACCAAAAAAAGAAGTCACTTTGAGTCCATTACAGGTGAAACTCGAAAAATTAGAATATCA